AAACTCCCTGGCTTTCAGTAACCCTTCCAAAACCCCTATTCAATATTATATTTCTGTAGTCAAAGAAAACTAAAGCAGGAGTCCTAGTCCTTTCTTGAGCCACAAGACTCCTTTTCCACCCTCCCCTCCCATTTTTCAGGATCTTTTTAATGTGTTGTCTTCCCCCTTTATATCATGAGTTCCTTGAGAGCAGCGACTGTCTATTGCCTATCTTTGTATCCCCAGTGCTTAGCACCGTGCCTGGCACATAGTAGGCATTTAATAAATGTTTACCGACGGACCAACTCTTCGGCAGTCTTTTTCTTTTTCTTTTCTCTTTGGCAGTCCTGTGAAGCTGTGGAACCCTTAGAATGTTTTTAATTGCAGAAAACAAAGTACATAGGACTACAAAGGAAACCAAATATGTTGAAAAAGAAATGTATAGTCAATCCTCAAAATTTTGAGGGGTTGGGTTTTTTCATTTGTTTTTTGTTTTGGGTGTTTTGGCAAGGCAATCAGGGTTAAGTAACTTTCCCAGGGTTACACAGCTAGTAAGTGTCTGGTGCCTGAGGTCACATTTGAACTCAGGTCCTGTTGACTCCAGGGCCGCTGCTTTACCCTTCCCCATCTAGCTGCCCCAATCCTCAATGTTTTTAACTTTCCTGACTTTATGCATTTGCGTGATTTTTTTAGTAACCTCATTTTCACTTTTGGGTTGGCAGCCTCACACGTTGGAGGTTATGTGCAATAGGGGGGGAAAATGAGAGGCAAGTTGAAGGCAAGTTTGTGAAGTGGCTGATATCCTACTAGGATATATTATCTCAAGCTGGTGCCTCCCTCACGATCTCCAGTGCCATTCACCAGCCATAAAAGATGGAACATGGGAGGTAATGTGTAGATCTCACCAGGCTTGGTGTGTTCTGACAGCAATGATTAAAGCCCCAGCAATTTCTCCCCTGGTTTTCAGAGGGTAGCCAAGGTAGAGAGATTTGTAGTATTGTAGTAGAGAGCAGTGTGGCATTTAGAACAATGCCCTGATGCCACTGTCTGATGCAATAGAAGGTAAGATTCAGGTTGAAAAATGTTTTAGCTTTAAGAATTTTATTTGCTATACAGTGTTTATGGTACTGTAGAGTTCATGTGTTATGAAAAGTGGATATTGTCCAGAAACAATGTTGGTTTTTATTTTTATTTATTTATTTTTTATTGAGATGTTAGCACAAAAACGTCATAGAATTCTAGGGAATTACTGGCAAGAAAAAATGTTTTCCATGTTACCAGTTTTATTTTGTGCACTACATTTCATTGGTTATTTCATGGTTACTGTGCTATTATTAACGCAATGCATATTATAAGAAAAGTGAATATTATCAGAATTAATGTTTTGGTATGAAGAATTGCATGCAGAAAAATGTATTTTCAGCAATCTCTAGCAAAACATCCCAGTTTCTGGTGGTTGAGGGAACCTAACCCTCTCTTTTCTGGAGGTTTGATGCATCAGCATTCACATTTTTTTACTTTTGTGCTGTTTCTAAGAATGTTATCTGCAAAAGTAGAAGATTGACTGTAATTTTTTTCCTCTCTGAGTTAACAGACTCCCTGAAATCTACCTATCCATGGATCACTTGGAGTCTATCAAGTTAAGAATGCCTGAAATTAAGGAAAGGAAGTAAATTTTAGAGTTTGCCATGTGTTTAACAACAACAGCAATAACAATGATAGCCATTAGGATTTTTATAGCACTTCAATGTTTGTTAAATATTATCTCATTTTAACCTAATAATGCTGGGAGAGGCAGGTGCTATTATTAGCCCAATTTACAGATGAGGAAACTAAGGCAGACGGATTAAGTAATTTGCCAAGGGTTACACCACAAACAAGTGTCTGACACTGGATTTGAATTTAGGCCTTTGTGACTCCAAGTCTAACACTCTATCCACCATCACTTGGCATATGCACGTAAGAAATAAAAGAAAGGAATTAATTTCCACAGGATAATTTATTAATTTTCCAAATATTACAATGTGTTTTGATAAACTTTTCTTACCCCACAAGGGTATGTATACCTCAGGTTGAGAACCCCTGTGATAGAAGTTTCTGATTATCACTTACTTGGAGAGATCCTCCATCATGGAGCAGATCAACCAATTAGGCTTCATTTTGCAACTGAATTAATATTTTAAAAGATTAAAATAATGATCACTCCCAGCAAAAAAAAAAAAAATTCTATGCTATTCCTTAAAAACAAAGATGCTTCAAGGTCCCTGGCACAAAGTAAGTGCTCAATAAATGCCTATGGTTGTTGATGGGATTAGAGATGGGGAGAAGGAAAAGAGAGGGTTTTTTTTTAAGGAACATACTGTTTCTCAATTGAACTTTTTTATATGGCACACATATGGTTCTGTCCCAGAAAAAAAACTTGGCATAATGGGGAAAACCTAGGACTTGAATTAAAAAGACCTAGGCTTGAGACCCTCTTCATACTAATTGTGTGATCTTAAGCCTGTTCCTGAAATTCTATGCCCTCTTTTGTAAGATGAAGATAATGCCTGCATTAAGGGCAGCAAAGTGGTACAGGTGCTCTCCTGGAGTTCAAATCTATGTGAGTTCGTATCCAACCTCAGACATTTAACTATGTGACCCTGGGCAAGTCACTTAACCCTGTTTGCCTCAGTTTCTTCATCTGTAAAATGAGCTGGAAAAGGAAAAGGCAAACCATTCCAGTATCTTTGCCAAGAAAACCCCAAATGGGGCCACAAATAGTCTAAGACTTCTGAAGAACAACTCGTCAACAATGCCTGCATTACCTCCCTTGCTGTGGTGTTTTGAAGCTCAAAGGAGATAATTCACATAAGCTGCTTTGTAAGCTGTAAATTTCTGTATACATATGTTTTGTTATGTTTTTATATGTTATTCATATTTATAAATGCATTTGGAGGGGCAGTATGCCATAGTAGTTAAAAGGACAACCTTAGGGTCAGGGTTCAAGTCTTGCCTCTAACATATTAACAATATAACCCTGGGCAAATCACTTAACTGCTCACCCCTCACCCCTAAGACTCTGAATGACAGATAGGCTGCTTTTCTGAATCAGTGCAATGCATTTCCACATTGTAAGTGCCTCACACCAGTGATATAATGGGTCCAGACCAAAAGATAAAGAGAGAACATATTCACCATGAATGGACGAAACGTAGTCAGGTAAGCAAGGAAACCAGAGCAGAGCTACAAGAATGGAAAGCAAGAAGAATTCAGATTTGAGAGGGGTGAACAGGATTAGAGCTGTGTGCTCATTAGGATAATTGTAAAGGAACACATGGGCATTTGGAATAAATATGTGAATAGAAAACACATGTGGATAGAAAACATGTGTGTGAATAGAAGAAGGGGGGGCAGTCAGATAAGTGAGTAGGATGGAAGCTAGATCTATAGATTGATTGCAAGAGAACACGGAAAAATGGTAGCCCACTAAGTTTATGGGGGAAAAGGGAAAAAATAATTCATAGTCCATTGATGGTTACTAAATTAGATTTAATAATTCTATGAGTCAGGCCAACAGCTCTCAAGTTTGAAGATGACACATATATATGTTTCCATTTCTTCAGGGAAATTTCATTTTGTCAGTATTCTGATCTTCAGAGCTTAGTCTTTCTTGACTGCACTAAACAGAAAGTTAATGTAAAGAACCACCACACAATTTAAAAATCAAAAGGAACCACTGATTATTGTTGGGCTGTATTGTTTCGTGTGTCCCTTGCCATAGGATTATAGCTTTAGAGCTGGAAGGGGCCTTAGAAATCATTAAATCTGATCCCCCATTTTGCAGATGAGAAAACTAATGCAGAATGTGGTCTCTCTTTATCTTTTGGTTTGGACTCATTATATCATTAGTGTGAGACACTTACAATGTGGAAATGCATCCCACTGATTCAGAAAAGCAACCTATCTGTAATTCAGAGTCCCAGGGGTGAGGTGGAGCAGTTAAGTGACTTGTCCGATTATGTTGTTAATATGTTAGAGACATAACTTGCCTAGAGTTACACAACTAGTACTTAACTGAAGTGGGATTTGAACCTAGGTCTTCAAGTCTAGTATCTCATCCACTACCATTTGTTGTTGTTACTTGGTTGCTTCAGTTGTGTCTCACTCTTTGTGACCCCATTTGGGTTTTCTTGGAAAAGATAATGGAGTAGTTTGGCATTTCCTTCTCCAGCTCATTTTACAGATGAGGACCTGGGACAAACAGGGTTAAGTGACTTGCCCAGGGTCACATAGCTAGTTAGTGTCTGAGGTCAGATTTGAACTCAGGAAGATGAGTCTTCCAGATTCCGGTTCTGTCACTCTATCTGCCATACCACATCCACTCCCATACTGCCTCTTAATGTTCGTGATTACCAGATACACTCAATTATCTCCACATACAGATGGGACACGAGAGACTGGGGTGTGGATCTGATGTCCTCCTGTTCTCCTGAAGCCAATTTTGTTTATATTTAAGCAGTTTGTATCCAGGTGGTGCCTTCAGCCACAGATGAGTTACCCAAAAAGATCTTGGGATTATCTCTGAAGACTTGATATTATGGAAATTAGTTAGAATCAGAGGGAATCTCAGGTGAATTGAGGACTTCAGTGATGTTTAAGTCATTACTAATTATGTTTGTAGAGTTTTATTAGCCTTTGTTTTCTGGAAGAACATTGGTAGAGAAAGAGGTCTCATGAATGAAGAAATTTTAATCCCCAGCTAAATCTGCAGGGTCACTGGGGTGGCAGTAGCCTCCAGACATGGAGGTTTCTTTCATCAGATTAGTCAGCAGTTTACTTGGCCTTTTGACTGCCAGAAAATAAATTATTTCTGGTACAAAAAACTGAGTCTCTGCTAAAGGAAAGGTGGCTATGTCTACACAACAAGTCATCCAAATAGTATTTTAAAGGGTTTGGTTTTTATTCAGCTCTATTCTCCACTGACAGCTTATATTATAGATTCAGATATAATTGACTGTCCGTTCATTTCATTTCCATAGGATCAAAGAAGGAGGTGCAGAAAGATCAAGAAGCAAATAAACCTGCTGTTTCATCACCTAAAAGATTGGCAGCTTCAACTACGAAACTTCACTCACCAGGTATTTGGAAAGGGAGCTCAATATTATTTCGAAGAACTCTTAACCTCAGAGATTCATTCCATCCCAGCTCCACTAATGGGATGGTGGGAGCCCTGAAGCATATATAATTCTCATAGTCTGTCCATGGCATGTTTTTTGACCATTACCAAGGTAAAATCATTCACATGACATATTTATTCTTAAAAAGCAAGATATCATCACTACTTGCCAACATGGGAGAATCTATAGAGAAGACTACCCACCATCTGGTGTCCTATAGAATGGACAAGCAATCTAGAACTGGAAAGTAAACACTTTGAAGAAATGGCTCTAAGCGCTTAGATTTCCTATAAGGGAGGAACAAAGCTACATATAGAAGAAGTAGATAGTATGTGCTGTTTTTTGGTAATTAGGAAATCATTAGTTTAAATCATTTGACTAAGCTGATAATTGTTGTGTTTGGCATATTTAAAAAATTTAAATAATCATAACATGGAGTTTAACTCTTTGAATATCATGTTATCCTATCGATGAATTTGTAACTTAGAAAAATGCTACCGATATATCATACTCTGAAGAACTGGAAGTTAGGGGCCACCCAGAGGATAATGGATAATCACATAAAGGATGTGAGGAGGATGTAATGTATTATAAGTGAGGAATTATATGAAAAGCATGACAAAGTATGTCATCAGAGAAGTATAGGACTTAAAAAAATTAGCAAGTCACATAATAAGAGTGAAGAAGAACCCATGGTCAGCCTGTGTGTTCCATGGGTATCCATCTGGTACAGTGGGTAGAACATCAGGCCTGCAGTCACAAAGTCCTAAATTCAAATATGGCCTTAGAAATTTCCTAGCTCTGTGACCCTGGCAAGTTGCTTAACCTCTGTTTGCCTCAGTTTCCTCACCTGAAAAAATGGGGATACTAAAAGCACCTCTCAGGGTTTGAGGATCAATGAATCAGTATTTGTAGAAGGCACTTAGTACAGTGCCAACATATAGTAGGTGTTGTAGCTATACATTTTATAATTATCTGTATTCCTTATTTTTGTTATTGTTCAGTCATGTCTGATTCTTTGTGATCCTGTGGACCATAGCACACCAGGCCCTTTTATCCTCCACTATCTCTCAAAGTCTGTCCAAGTTCATGTTTGTTGCTTCCATGACCCTATCTATCCATCTCATCCTCTGCCGTCCACTTTTCTTTTTGCCTTCAATCTTTCCCAGTCTTTTCCAGTGAGTCCTGTCTTCTCATTATGCGGCCAAATTCTTTTTTCAGTATTTGACCTTCCAGTGAATAGCCTGATTAATTTCTTTAAGTATTGACTGATTTGACCTATGTATTCTTGTATGTTGACATATTTTCTTACATATAAAGATATAAATAACTTCTTCCTTACTCCTTCCATAGTAATATCAAGAGAACAGGAAGAAGAACATCCAAATATTGGGTGAACATCTGATTCAGATTCGTGGGAAAACATAGATAAGTCTTACCAGATGAGCAGGTCTGTGAAGGGACCGCAATCTACATTGTTGGAGGAAGTTTCCCACATCGATGAGACCACACAGCCTTTGGAGGATTAGAGTTTATAAATGGTGTCATTAAAAAACACAGTAAACCAGCATGAAGTTAATAGTTTTTCAGAGCTGAAATAGGCTATAGAGACCATGTCACCAAACCTCTCTTTTGAGAGAAGTGCGTCTCATAACTTAACTCAGGACCATGTACTTAATTAACCCAAATTCTCTGACTCTAAGACCAGCGCTCTTCCACTAGATGGCATTGGGTGTTGTGGTGAATTCAGCTTTAGGCAGAAACTTCCTTTTGTTTTAACCCTTATGATACTAACTGACATTTATATACTATTTTACAGTTTGTAATGACATTGGTTGAAAAGAAGGGTGCCTATCATCCATATTTTATTAGATGTAGAAGCAGAAGTTCTCAGAGATTAAGATGGGCCTGCAGTCACAGACTTGGTGTCAAAGTTGGGTTTGTATCCCAACAGCAGTCCGTTTTTCTTCCTAAGTATTACAGAATAAACATAATTTATGTTTTCTCTGATAGTTCTAGAGCTTGTATTTCCACAGGACATATAATGTTGTTAAGCTTATGTAGAGCAGTGCTCAGTTTCAACAGGTAGAAGAGAAAGAGCTTGAAGAATGACCGCTAAGACTGCCTTCCAACTTTCAGGTGCTATGGTTCTCTGATTCTATAATAGAAATTCTAAGGCACATTGATGTTCTTCACTCACCTCTCCAAACAAAGAATTCCCCTGGGGAAGAATCCACTTATTTATTTTCTTAAATTTATTTTTAATTTATGGAATAAAACAAGCATTTCCATAATGTAACACAATAAAAAGATGATTGTACATGAAACTGCAAGTCTACTGTGCACAACTTGTTATTCCTTTTAAATGTATAACAAAGTTATCATGTAAATTTCTTTTTTTTCCTTTTTTTCCTTCATTCCCCCCTGCCTCTTACCCTAGAGATGGCTACCATTAAACACAAATAGGTGTATATACATATATATGTATGTATGTACGTGTGTGTGTATAATTATTCTGTATAGATAGCGTCTTTCTTCAGATGTCCTTTATTTTTAATTTGTCTGTTTATAATAATCAAAATCACTCAGTTGCTCAAAGCCTTTCTTAAAACACTATTGCTACTACTGTATACAATATTCTCTTGATTCTGCTCACCTTGCTCTTCATTATTTCATGTAAGTCTTTCCATGCCTTTCTAAGATCATTGAGCTCATCATTTCTTATAACACAGTAGTGTTCCATCACAACCGTACATCACAATTTGTTCAGTCATTCCCCAATTCATGAAGATCTCTGCAATTTCCAGTTCTTGGCCAACACAAAGAGAGCTGCTATAAATATCCCATTCACATTCAAAGTTATAATCACTATTTTTGAATTTCTCTCCATCTTATTTTTATTCACTGTTTTCTTTCTCAGCCTTTCTTTTTACCCTATCCCTGTTACCTTATCTTCTCCCCCACCTTCCCACTTCCCATACCACCCTTACTAATTATAAAGATTACTAAGTAGCCTGGAGATGAAAATTCTTCAGATTAAAAAGTTGAAGATACCTAGAAATTGAATGAAATTAATTATTTGTGGAGTTTCCTTTTTTATTTAATTTTTTGTTACATTTTAAGTTCCAAACTGTATACCTCTCTCCCTCCCCAGTCCCCATTAGAGGTCACCATTTGACACAGGTGTGTGTGTGTGTATTTGCGTGTAAAACCATACTACGCATACTTCTGTTTATCAGTTCTTTCTCTAGATATGGATAGCATCTTCCTTTATAGGTTCTTTGCAGTGGATTTGAGCATTTATAATATTCAGAATAACTCAGTCGTTCACAGCTCTTTGAACAATATTGCTGTTAATGTGTGCAACATTTCCTTGGTTCTACTCATTTCATTCTTCATTATTTCATGTAAGACTTTCCATGTTTTTCTAAAATCAACCAGCTTATCATTTCTTACAGCACAGTATTCCATCACAATCGTATATCATAACTTGTTTAGCCATTACTCATCATTTGTGAAGGTTTGATAAACTTTGGATATACTGGATCATATTTTCTGCTTCCACCTTGTCTCCTTCCTCCCCAAATGAATAATAATTATATTAATAAAGTGTTATATAGCATTTATTATGTGTCAGGCACTGTGCTAAGTGCTTTATAATTATTATCCCATTTAATACATCCCTGGGAGGGAAGAGCTATTATTATCCCCATGTTACAGATGAGAAAACTGAGGCAAACAGCATCCAGGGTCACAAAGTTAATAAGAGGCCAGGTTTGAACTCAGATTTTCCTGGCCACAGGCCCAGCACTCTACGCACTGTGCCATCTAGTTGTCCCAAACTGAGAAGAAAGAGTCTTGGTATAAGCGTGCAGTCCTTTCTCAGTATCATTTCTTCTTCGTAAAGTGACAGAATTGGACTATATAGCCTCTTAGGTCCCTTCTGGTTCTAGATGTAGAATTCTAGGATTTAGGTTGCATTTGGTCACTCAGAAGTTCTGCCAGTAGAATTCTAAACCCTTGATCATTCCTCCTGTGAGCCTCATACCCTTGCCTGGCTTGGGAGGGTAATCCTTTCATGGAGTTAGTAGCAGAGCCCCACCATACATAAGATGGACAGTGAGTACCATCTTTTTTTCTTCACTCCTTTCTCTTCTACCCACTGCCCCAGTCAGACAGCGTGGTAGCTCCCAAGGTTCGACAGGACAATCACTCTTGTCAGTCTTGTCCCTACCTCAGCCAAACCCCTGCACAGTCAAAGAGGGCTTATGAAGAGAGGGAAAGAAAGGGTGGAGGGGTTTGGGTAAGAGGTGACTGCAATTGAAACCAAATGTCAGACTTTTCCTGAAATGAAGTTGGATTGTTTTAATGAAAGTTAAACCCCAAAGAATTCTCAGCCACTACATTGAATCATGTAGGAGGTGGCAGGGAGGGGCAATGTGTGCCAAGCTGAAAAAACACTTTATTTTCTGCCGTGGTTTTGCCCAAAAAATGATATTAGTGGATTTTTTGAGATGGAAAACTGGCAAAGTTTTGGCATCTGTTTCTTCTTTGCAATTGAGGGGTTTTTAGGCCTGCATATTGCACTGTTTAGTTCTTGTGCCAAGTCAGCTTCTTAGCTGTAAAATTATGAAGTGGTTCCTTCTATTTAAAATACTGGGAAGGGAGGGGAATCCCTGCAGATGAATATTTTATAGGCTTTTTTCCATTTACAGGGGTTATGCTTTCCCAGATGTACAACCTTGGCACGCAAGGCACTCATCTTTCTGTCCTCTCTGGCTGCTGGCCTCTCCCTGGAGGCCAAAAAAGATATAAGGGCAAGGACTGCCATCTCTTTCACTTCCTGCTGCCACTAACTAGAGACCAAGAGCTGGCAGGTGGAGATTCCACGGAGGGAAATATAAAGCAGCAGGTGAACATTCTGGAGCTTACCTCGGGAACAGTGGAACCCATTGGTGGGT